TCGCCCATGGTGCTGGGGATCAAATCCAGGGCCTGGCTCATGCTAAATGCATTGTACAATGGACTTACATCCTTACTGCATTAAGAAAGTTTTGAAAAAGAAAACCAAAGAGGAGACTTGCCATAACAGTCACTAAAACACTACAGCTCCTATGCTTCCCCAGGTCTAGGTGTGGGGCCATGGATGACCCTGTCAGCCTGGAGGAATAGAATTATTTAGTGATGCTATGTAAAAGTTTTCTAATTCTGTAATTTTATATGGTTCTTAGAATTTGCTAAGAGATGGAGGAACCTCAAAAAATGATCTGAATACAATAGGTCTTGCCAAAAATGTCCCTCTCAAAAGCTACAGCCCTACGATTTCTACTAATGAATTTCTTGCCCCTACTTTCTTGACAACTTGGCATTGCCTAGCTTGATGGTAGATCTCTTCCAAAGTAACAGTGTCCAGATGCTGAGATGCAAAGAAAAATGGGAAGGTTTCTCAAAGTCAGTATTATCCTCAAGAATACCATTGAAAAATGCCATTAGAATGAGACTGGACATTTAGCAGAATAATAACAGAATCCAAAACCTTAAAACACCTCAATATATGGGAATGATCAGATTCCCTTTGCTCCCAACACAGGCCAAGTGAGCCAGCATAGAGGAGGGGATCTTTTTCCAGAATGCCCACGGCTGTAATTGTGCAGCAGTGGTCTTGCTTGTGTAGAAGTGGAGCAGCTGCAAATTTTAGTACAACCCCAAGTCCCCAAGGCCATGGCCAAGTGGGTGGCAGAAGAAGATGTTCTTGAGCTGGAGCAGCTGGGCCCTTGGGTCAGTGGTTTTTGTCTGAAAGAGTAACTAGGAGTTTGATTTTTGATTTGGCTAGAGGAAGAATTTTCAAGAATGTCTCATACCATGGAAAATAGCAGCCACAAAAGAGCCATTCTCATGGGGCTAGAGAATGCCAAAGCACTAGGTATGAAGCACCCCCAAAATCCCTGGGAATACAAGGCCAGGAACCCAGGCATGACCCACTCCTGCATGCCCTCAGGAGATCCCTCGCCTGGGTCTGCTCTATTTGTATCTGTCTGACTACACGGACACGTTCTGCCCTTACTCCACCAGACCTGTCTCTGGAAAAAGACAGTTCTAGACAGGACATCATCACCAAGCTTCTGTACTCAAGCAAGTCTATAAGGAAGCTGCAGAGAGAATTCCTGTCACATACTTCTTCCTTACATGCTGTCTGATTGCTGAATCTTCATGGAGTTGGCTGGACATTGCAGTTTCTCATAATCAATATACCATGGCGAATTAGTCTCATTTTGGAGGGTCTGGTTAAGGAGTGAACTGAAGATTATACCTCAAAGCCTGTAAAACCACTTTTGGAAAGTGTGAACATGAGGGCCATGTTTTGGCCCGCATTCCTCAGTTGCTTCATGACTGTCTTTGGGGCCCTTTACTTTAATACAATTATTAACATTGATCTTGTGGGAAGTCCAAGGGCTGGAAGTTCAGGTATTGTGACTGGGGCTACCCAGGGTCTGAAAAACTCTTCCAATCTCCCTGACATCTAAATTGCATTCCTTAAAAGGCCGGGTGTGTTTCCTTTTTCTACTCAAGGTAAAATAAGGTACTGCTTTTGTATGTCAAAGACTCTAACTAGATCCCCTCCCCTGTGCCTGTAGTGTTGTGGCATCATTCTACCATACAGAGGATATCAGTTTGGTCTACACAGCAGCAGCCCCTCTAACCCAGTCACTATCCTCACAGTGACTGAGGCCCAGGCTATGATGGCTCAGTGTTGTACAGCAGTCAGAAAGCCACCATGTAGGTTATGGCCCTAACTCCAGTTTGGGCAGAGGCTTCCAGAGCTTCGGACCAGGCATGTTGAAGCTGGGGCTGTCCTATAAGTCAAGTTTTGGAAAACAAGACTTTTTCATAAGTATAGGCATTTACTTGTTAAAAAAAAAAAAAAAGGAAAAATTCAAAACTCAATCAATAACTCCTTGCTGAAGAGTTGCTAGGTTTCAGAATAAAAACTTTAAATGGATTCAGTTTGATATTAGAATTATTAATTTTATTTAGGGGTTTGCTTTTTGTTTTTATTTACTTATTTATTTATTTTTGGTTTTTTGAGACAGGGTCTCACTATGTAGTTAAGACTGACCTGGAACTCACTATGTAGCTCAGGCTGGTCTCGAACTCACAGTGATCCTCCTGCCTCAGCCTCCTGAGTGCTGGGATTACAGGTGTGTGCCACCACGTCTAGCTGTTATTTTTTAAAAGAATTTAATCAGTATAGTATATTCCAGGAAAGTCCTTCTGTAAATTGACTTCATGTTGTAAAATGTATTATCTTTACTGTCTTGTTCCAATGTATAAAGCAGCAAATGTGACTTCACCAAGTGTTGTAATTATACATATGGAATGAAATGAATGATGGCCTTTTATTTCTTTCCACGGTGAACATGGCAGGTATGAAGTATGATTTCCCTAGATTGGTCTCGTGGAAATAAGCTTGTATCTGAAGTGTGTTCTGTGACTTAATGAACCATTCATTAACCAGTTGTGTGTGTGTGTGTGTGTATTGCTGGGATTGAATCCAGGGTCTCACACAAGCTAACACATATCCTATCACTGAGCTACATTCTCAGCCCAACCCTTTATATCTTTGAATAAAGATTTCATTCAAACTTTGCAAATGATTTGAAGAAATTACCGTTTTTTTCAGTACTGAGGATTGAATTTAGGGCCCACATACACACTCAACAATTGCTGTTCCACTGAACTACATCCCTGCCCCATTTAATTTTTGAGGCAAACTCTAGCTAAGTAGTCTGAGTTGCCCTCAGAATTGTGATCCTCCTGCTTCAGTCCCTCAAACTGGGATTTCAGGTATATACCACCAAGCCTGGGTTAAAAGAAATATTTTTATGCAGATTTTAAGACATCCCACAGAAACAATGTGACACCTAATACAATGGTTCTGGTATGGGAATGGACTGAAAGACAAATGTAAAATAGAGGCCTCAAAAATAAACCCATATATAGAAATGGGGACTTAATAATGGCAGTTTTGCAAAGCACTGCAAAGAACATGGTATTAAGGTAATTGAGTTTTGTCTGAACACCCCCCCACACACTGCCTGGTGAAGTATAGAATGAAGTGCGAAAGTTCAAATTATAAGGTTTATAGAAGAAAATGTGACTTCATGAGGAAAGTCTTCATGAATAAAATTTGAAAGACTAAACTAAAATAAATGGTAGAAAATGAAGCAAAATATGGATTTGGCTACATAAAAATTTCTGATAAAGTACATCATGGAGAAAGTTAACATATAAATAACAGACTAGGAGAAGATTTCTGCAATAGCTAAAACTGGGAGCTAACTAGTACTGGGTTTATACAAAGAACTGAAAAGTAATAAGAAATGGCCAAAAAGATATAACAGGCAATTCTCAGGAGGGAATGTGTGAGTAGCCCTTCCAATATACATATATTTCAACAAATGTCTGAAACCATCTATAAATAAGAAAAGTACAAATTTGAAACAATCTCATTTGATTCATAATGGCAAAAAGTAAAAGAATGGGTTCATATCATGTGTGGGAGAATTACAAAACAAAATCAAACCCTAAAGGGTGGGCATGGAACCTGCCCATTATATTAATTACCTCTTAAATCTGAAAACTAGGTGTGGCAAAGATTGCTATTCACCTTCTCAGCACCCGTTTTCCTCTTCCTCCTTACTGGTAGACCTTGTAGAAATATAGATTTTGTGATTATTCACGTAGGGTGAAGCCAACAGATATTGCTATGGAAAAGATAGCTTATTTCTCCCTTATTATTCAATAGGAAGGGGCACACCACACTATACAGAGCCATGTGGGAAAGCACAAAGTCCTTGGGAAGCAGAGGGAATGGAAGCAATCAGGGCAAAAAGCTTTGTTTTCTTGTGGGAAGAAATGGTCAAGGCAGGATAAGGAAGCTCAGCACAGAATAATCTGAAAATTTTCAAGAGTCTCTGGATTATAGACAGTTATCCAGCACTTGGCCCTGGAATGATTGGGGCAGGAGAATATTGGCTTGGAGTATAACAGCCTGATAAAGGAAGATGGGCACTGGACTGGTGAGTTCACATGTGAAAGGCATGCTTGCTCTGAAATGGGTTGTTTGCTACTAATTAGCCTCAGATGCCAGATCATTAAGAAAACAAGAAAATATATTAATAAGGCTCACTGGTAGAACACAACCTAGTATGCTTAAGAATCTGGGTGTGGTTCCCAGCACAACAAAACAAAACAAAGAAAAAACATAGTTAATAGAAGTAGCCACTGAACTAGGACACTAAACAGGATTCTTATGTTTAGCTATTTTCAGTAACTATGTGTGGGTGCTTGGTGTAACAGGCCTTGCTCTAGATTGAGAGAGAAGAACCAGGCTAACAGAATTGATGACCTCTGAAAATCTCAGGCCCAACACTGCAAAGTCAAGATCTAATTGTAATTGGTCTTGGAAAAGGGAGGAAGTGTGTCTGAGGAAGCCCTAATCTGTTTAAAAAGTGGTGAAATAATGCTAGGATTCACACAAAGGAAAACCGAAATAAATTCTCCAGTCCAGAGAGTTTTTCTCTCCTGTTCTGCAGAAATATGGTCTCGTACTTTCCCACCAGGAATGGTCCTGTTTGTATGTAGCTCAATCTTGTCGAATTTGCTTTTTTTTTTCCTAGGGGGATCTAAACTCATGTAATCAGCTAGTTGCCTAAACAAACAGAGCGAACTAAACACTATGTTCCAGTTCTGGTTTATCATTATCTCTAACACTGGCAAATTATTTCTGGGAGATTCAGTGTTCTCATCTGGAAAATCAGAGACTAAGAACCGTACTCCATGCGAAAACCTTTTTCAAGTAAGATCCACAACTGCAGATTCGTAAGCCGGTGGATGCGATCCTCAAGCGCTAGCAGCCATTTTTTTTTGAAAACCCTCCATGCCCCTTAGCACCGCCCAGCCCCCGGTAAACTAGTGGTGCGCAAGTGCGCTACAGGCCCTTCCGGCTTCCCGTAGCTTCCTTTCCAGTTTTGGCCCTGTCCCCCGTCGCCGCAGCGTTTCCGGTCCAGTCCGGGAACTCCCCGAGCATTTGTTATCTTCTAGTTCTCTGTCACTTCGGCTTCTCCGTCGCTTCTCTGGCTGTCTCAGTAGCTGGCGAAAGTAATTTCCCATTCACTGCCGGTTTCGAGCGGAAAGGGGCCGTTCTCCGCCCCCTTGCTCGTTGCCCGCAGTCTTCGGCCACAGGAGACGAGTTTCAGGGTGTCATGGCCAGGGGCCGCGGCGGCCGGCCGTGTGGGAGGCCTCTTTCAGCCGCCTGCGAACTCCTGTGGCCTCTGGGCCCCCCGGCGCCCGTCTCGGTCTGAACGCAGTCCCTTCGCGCCCGGGGCCGTCTCTCGCCGGGCCTCATGGCCTCCGAGGCGTCATCCCCGCCGCCGTCGCCCTCACGGTCACTGTCGCCGCCTACCTCCCCAGAGCCTGAACTGGCCCAGCTGAGGCGGAAGGTCGAGAAGTTGGAACGCGAGTTGCGGAGCTGCAAGCGGCAGGTGCGAGAGATCGAGAAGCTGCTGCATCACACGGAGCGGCTGTACCAGAGCGCTGAGAGCAACAACCAGGAGCTTCGCACGCAGGTGCGCGGTCCTCCCTGCCCGGGAAGAGGCTCTGATGGCCTTGGAAAGGCTTCTTGGCCGGGGCTGACCACGGCTTTATAGAGTCTTTGAAATAAATAAAACCTCAAAGCAGTTATAGTTCAGGCTCTTTTGGTTTAGGTGAGTGTCTTACGGCTGGCCTAAGTTGAACCTCCAGTATTTTGGCTACATGGTCTTCATTCTCATTTGTCCCAGTGTCCCACTGGCAGTAGGAACATTTGTAATACTATTTTAGATTATGTTTGAGTTTGTTAAAGTTCTGAATTTGAGTCAGAAGCTCATCTTTGCCTCTCATGAGATGTGTAAACTTAGACAGGGCCTCATTTGCCCATAAAATCACTTGAAGTGGTTATCTTGGGTATTCATTATCTTGAGTTTTCTTGTGGAAGGAGGGAGGTAGAGCCTTCCTTGTTAGACACATAAACATCTTATATCATTTTGATAATGTGCAGTAAGGAGAGATGCTAAAGCAGCAGTTCAGAAAACAACGTACTCTAACTCGAACTGTTGGGCAGCTGTGCTCTCTCCTAAGAATTTTTTTCCAGGTACTTAACGCCCGAGTAACTGTTCTAGTCCTTCATAGTTAATTGGTTCATTTTCTTAAAGTACATACATAGAATGCTAAAACACCAGACTGTCATACTGTTGCTGAGCTATGAAAACAACTGTTGATTTTAAATGATTTCTATGACCATTGTATGTAATCATTGACCTTATGAGGTAGAAAGTTTTTTTTCTCAACAGCTAGTCTTTTTTTAATACCTACAATGTATAGGAGTTGTGCTAATAAAATACAAATATAAAAATATGGGAGGAGGAAAGCCTTAAATAAAACCCTTTTATAATTATATAGTGTTAAAGTATTGCTTGCCTAAGAGACCCTAACATTTTTTTTGCTAATTTTCCAAGAGCCAGTATTTTTATTATTAGGGTTAACTTTAGTGGTTCACCATCAAAAATGGAAATATAAGCCAGGCATGGTAATGCACACCTGTAATCCTAGTACTGTGGGAGGCCTAGGCATAAGGATCAAAAGTTCAAACCCAGCCAAGACCCAATCTCAAAATAAAGAGTTGGGGATGTAGCTCAGTGTGAAGGGCCTGGGTTCAATGCCTGGTGCAAAAACAAAAACAGCTTGGATAAGGTGGCTGGAACTTGTAGTCTCAGCTACTCAGAAGCAGAGGTGGGGTATGCTTGAGCCTAGGAATTTGAGGCTAACTTGGGCAACATACAGACACCTTGTAAAGAAAAAAAAAATAGAAGCTAGAGGCATAACTTAGTGGTAGAATATCAGCCTAACCATGCAAGAGCCCTAAATTTAATTACCAGCACTGGAGGGGCAATAGTGGTCTTGATTCTACTGCTGATAGTGATTACTTTTCTAGTCAGCCTTCTCTGCTGGGAGAGTGGGGTTTGGCTGACATCCCAAATTGCTGAATGTGTTCTATTTAGAGCACTTGAGAATTCAAAGAAATGAACTATGAACTAATAGCAAGCCATACTATCTACAGGTTTGGGGGTCAAAAAACCTGTACAAGTTACTTTGTCATTTCAGATATTTCATATGTAAAATGGGCATTAGGACAAATACATAATTTGTGAGGTGCTTGGGTGAATTAAGATGTCATCACATGCACCAGTATAATGTCTAGTGTGCAATAGATGCTAAGTAATTGAGTTCATAGTAAAATGTATGGTGGCAGCAGCCACAGCCAGGACTGGGGCAAAATAGTCTCCTAGGGTGAGGAACTTCAGGGCGCACTTCTCAGGTATGGACTCTGTACTTGCATTAAATTGTGGGTGCAAGTTTTTTATTCTACATACCTTGCTTGCCACACCTTAGTTCAAGTCTTAGGAGCAGATCTGATGACTATGATGAGTCTTGCCCCTTTACAGTGTAAGCTTATATGTAATTAAAAAGAAATGTTGACAGGTCTGTTTTTAGTCAGGTTCATGCATCCAGGAGACACTGTCAGACTAAGGTGCATTGGCTGAGGCGGGTCATCTGATTCCAGGTGTGTCCATGCTCTTGTTCTGACCTGCACAGCATCCTCCTGAGAGCATCCCAACGCACGAGGCTCATGGAGGACAGTTGCGCTTCTTGGTTGTGTTCTTTGTTCCCTTCTGCAGTTACTTAATCATAAAACTGCTATTTAAAAAAAGGCACACATGTTGAATCCTATAAATGGTAATAATATTGAGGTGAATAGTTAAATCCAGGTAGAGGATGCTGAGTGATACTAGATAGTTCACTACAGATGGACGTTTATAGCTTTAAAACTTTAATCTTCTAGAACTGCTGACCTTTAATATTAACACAAAAGCATTCTTTGGTGGTGGGGGTGATAGGATGGCAGTAAGGGTTACACCCAGGGCCTCTTGCATGCTTGGCAAGTGCTGTACCACTAAACTCTATATCCAGCTCAAGACATTCTTGTTTGTTAGAAATGAAAGATCCTCTCCACAAAGTTCCATTAGTCTGATTTTGGAGGAGCATATTTGAATGTTTAGTAGAGCTCAAGAATAAAAACATTTGTGAGCTGGACATGATGGCACATATTTCTGGTCCCAGCACACAGGAGGCCCATAAGTTAAAAACCAGTGTGGGCAACATAATGAGACTCTGTCCCTCCCACCCCTCCCCACTAAATTCTTTGAAAATTAACTAAGAGTTGGGATTATTTTTAGATTTTAGCTATTCATGGCACATCTCTAAAACTTTTATATTTTCAATATGGGGAATTGTACCCATGGGAGCTCCACCACTGAAATGTATCCCCAGTGTTATTATTTTATTTTTATTTTTTCACTTTTGAGACACAGTCTTGCTAAATTACCCAGGTCATCCTTGAATTTAAGATCCTCCTGCTTCAGCCTCCATGAGTAGCTGGGATTACAGGCATTCACCATGCCCATCCACATCTTTAAAACTTTTACCAAGAAAAATAATTTTTTGTTGTGATATCAAGAAAATGGTATACATATTATTATATTGCTTTATGATTTATTTCTCCTAAAGCCTTGTTTTCTTTCAGGTGGAAGAACTCAGTAAAATACTCCACTGTGGGAGAAGTGAAGATAATAAAAAGTCTGATGTAGAAGTACAAACAGAAAACCATGCTTCTTGGTCAATTTCAGGTATTCACCTTAATAATGAAAATATTTAAATCATGCTAATATGGTATTTTCTTTAAATCTTAAATACAAAAAGATCTACATAAATAATAATTATTGACTTCTCTCCTTTGGTATTTTCAAATAATCAGTTTGTCCTTGTGGGAAAAAAAAAGAACTGTATTATCATTCCTGTAATTTCTGTAATGTTGCTACCATGTCTTTAGTGGTTCACTCACTGAGCATTTTTTTTGCATCGGGGTCTCACTGTATTTTTCCCAGCCTGGTCACAAAGTCTGGGTTAAGTGATCCTCCTACCTCTGCCTCCTGAGTACTGGGATAACAAGTGCACACTGCCATCCCCAGGTCACTTAGTAAACTTTGCTGTGTAGTAAGCCTAATATCCTGTGTCCTTACTCTGACCAGGGTAGTGTTTTCTTGTTGATGTGTTTAGTTCCAGGCTCTTAGTTCTTGTGGCCATGGCAAGTCCACCACCATGACCTCATTAAAAGCATTGTATTACGTGGAAAAATAAGGTAGCCAGTGAGGATTAGTACATGTGGATCACCAGAAGCAGGAATCTTTCCCGTTAAGTTTTGGCTGGGTTCACACAGATACCATTTAGCAAAAGTGCTAGCATATCGGTATAATAAGCTTTTTAAGCAGTCAACATCACAAGAAAAATTTGACAGCAGATTGAGACCCTGGTCCTGCCCTTTTTGTCATTTGATAAGCATCATTATTAGGTACGTGATTAGAAGTTAAGAGTTGCCAGGTTTTTTTGTTTTTGACAGAAGATAACCCATCTATGTATTTTCTTTTTTACTCTTGTTGTGGAAAATCCAAATTTTACTTTTTTAGGGTGGTACCTGGGATACTGAGACATTTAGCATCAGAGATACACACTTCTGCAAATTTAGTTGCACTATCAACTTTAATGTTTTAAAATGTGTACAGTTGTAAAAATCATGTTTATTTTCAGTGTGAATTGTGCTCAGTGCCAGTGTTTTAGAATTAAGGCCCATTTAAATATACTAATCAAAGGTGTCGATTTGTTTTGCCACAGATTATTATCATCAGACATACTATAATGATGATGGTCTTCCAAATAAAGAGACTGAACTCTCAATTCAGCAGTGTCAGTATACTGAAGCGCCTCCTTTTGATTCTAAACACCAGTCACAAATAGAAAGTGATACCTGTACCGGTACTGATGTAACAGGAAATGTTAAATGTAGAGAAGAGGACCATTTCATCTTAGATTCACAGGTACTGAAACACTAAATGTGAAATTGTTGATGCCAAGAATTTGCCTTCCTTCTGGTAGTTACGTAGAGAGATAAACTTTTTCAGTTTGTCATAAACAAAGATTATAAATACTCTTACGTATAACTATGCCAAGAATATTAAAGTTTTGTTTCTTGAGATGGCATCTTGCTGTGTGGCCCAGTCTAGTCTCAAACCCCAGGCTCAAGGGATCCCTTCTATTTTATCCTCTTGAACAGCTGAGACTATAGGCACGTGACACCACACTTGGTTACACTCTGTTTTGTTTCTTGATTCAGGATCTCACTAAAGCTAGCACTGAATTTGGATCCTCCTGCTGCAGTCTTCCAAGTTGCTGGAATCACAGGCTTGTGCCATGGCACCCAGCTACACTTGAAACTTTTTTTTTCTTAGTGTAGGAGATTGAACCCAGAACCTTGTGTGTGCTAAGCAAGTGCTCTATCACTGAGCTACATCCCTGGCCCTAAAGTTTTTAATGCTTTCTTTATATTAGATGTCTTATCACTGTTTAAATATCTGAATGTTTTTCCTAATGTTTATAGGCTTTAAAATTTGTTTGAATCAGGATTCTGTTCAAAGGATGTGTTATAATCTATAGTGTTTTCCTCTTCTTATTTTTCTTACTGAGCATATAATTGTTGAACAATCTGTTTTTAATAAATTTTATTTTATCCCGTTCCTTCCCTCAAGCCCCCTTCCCTCCCTAAGTAGAAAAGCTTTGTTTCTATTTTTTCCTTCTATTTTTCACTTTTTTTTTTCTCATTCTTTCCTTCCTTTTTCTGTCCCTCCTCTCTTGTTCCCCTTCCCATTTGTGTTGAACCATCTTGATCATTGGTTTTATAAAATATTTTATGGTCTGTATTTTGTGAATTGCTTCCCTATGGTATCATACATTTACTTTTTCATAATAATTATTCCCTTGCTTCTTGGGTCTTTAAACTGGTAGGGCATGACTGTGACAAAAAATTGAGTCAGAGTTGAATTAAATAATACACTAGTCAATATTGTTTTGAAAGATTCAAATTGTAATTGAAAGCTAATCTTTCCATTGTAGAAAGTAAAGTGTAGCTTTAAGACAGGTGATATTTGAATCCTGTCTTCTAAGTCTGAATAAGGCTGTGTGAAAGTTGTGTCTGATTGATGTGACTGTCTTCTATAGGAAGCAGCATCTGCATTGGCAACAGAAAGTCCATCCTTAGAAGGTTCGTCATTAGCTGAAAGCTTGAGAGCTGCTGCAGAAGCTGCTGTGTCACAGACGGGATTTAGTTATGATGAAAGTACAGGATTGTACTTTGACCACAGCACTGGCTTCTATTATGATTCTGTAAGTGTCTCAGACGTTTCTAATAGTTTGATTGTGTATGTAGCTGCCTAATAGTAAGTATTAAACCCTAAGAGGAAGTATAAACAAGAAGCAGCATTGTAAAATTTTGTTTGATTCAAGGCTATTTGACAAAAAAATTATAAAATAGACTCCTAAGCTACATTTCTAAGTTTTAAAGTTATTGTTGTAGATCAGCGATGGTGAACCTTTTAGAGCTTGCATTGATAACAGCCTGCTGTAGCACATGTGCCATAGATTTGGCACCACTGATCAGTGTTTTAGAGAAGACTGATGACAGTTTATGAAGTAACATACTAAAATGATAGATATCTAGTAAAAGCTGATGATTAATTGTATTGTAAAACATTTAAGAACCTAAATTAGTACTTTCTCATAGAATGTATAAGGAAGTGAGATTGTTAATTCTCAGTTTGGGGTAAGATTTTAAAAAATCATTTCAAACATTTATCTTTATGAATATATTTTAGGCCACAGAGGGAGACTCGCCTTTTTCTTTCTGAAATGGTGTCTGTTTAGTTCTTTTGTACCCACCCCAGTAGGTGGGACTACTAGGGTCCACCACCATGGCTAGCTAGGGAGACTTTCTGAATTCTCAGTCTTGCTTTGTGTGTGTGAGAGAGAGACTGGAGGTTGAACACAGGGCCCCATGCATGCCAGACAAGAACTCTACTACTAAGTTATATTCTTAGCCCTTTTGTTAGTTTTGAGACGGTCTCACTGAGTTGCTGAGGTTAGCTTTGAGCTTGCAGTTGTCCTGCCTCAGCCTCTCCAGTAGGTGGTGGCATGTTTATTGTTAGTATTTTATATTCTCTGGTTTTTAAGCATTTAAACTTTAAGAAATGAGTCTTGGGTTGGGAATGTAGGTCAGTGGTAGAGTGCTTGCCAGGCATGCACAAGGCACTAGGCACCACAAATAAAAAAATAAAATTAAAAAATCAGTACCTTTAACAATGAGAGCTAGAGAATTAATGTGAAATTAGAAATATAATGGACCCCTGATTAAAGGAGGACTAGAATGATTTGTAATACAGTCATACCTTAGAACTCGGCTGTTTTGAAACTCATCAAACTTAATATTCAGTGAATTTTTACATGAACATTTTGTCCCTGTACTTATCCTTTGGCATTAAACTCAAAAGCTAGAACTTGTCAGTTTCATCTGCTTGGTGACTCAGTACCTTTTCCAGCCAAAACAATTTGTTTGATAGTTGTCACACTTCTGGAGCACGTTAATGATGAATACTGGTACCATTATAAAGTATAATGGCTGCTGGATTTAATGCTTACTTGGATTTCATTCATGCTTGCATGACACCGAATGTGGTGGTACATCCTATAATCCCAGCTTCCTGAAAGGCTGAGACAGAAAGATCACAAGTTTGAGGCCAGTTTAGGCACCTTAGCCAATTTATGTCTCAGACAACATAAAGGGATGGGCTAGCCATATGTCTGTAATCCTAGCACTGTGGTAGGCTGAGGCAGGAAGATCGCAAGTTCATATCCAGTCTGAGAAATTTAGGGAGACATTCTCTCTTTCAGGGATGTCGCTCAGTACAAAATCCCTGGGAATCAATCACCGGTACAGGGGGAAAAGGAGGAAAGGGCTGCAGACTTAGCTTAGCAGTACAGTATTTGCCCAGCATGCACAAGACACATAGTTCAAGCCTTAGTAGTAACACACACACACACACACACACACACACACACACACACACAGATGATGATGATGATGATGGAACCCCTGACTCCTGACCTCACCCTCAGGGGTCTAAGATGTGATCTGGCAACCTAGGAGATTACAGAATGTGGGCCAGAAGTGGAGCAGATGTTCATCATTCCTGTTACTGCCCTGCTGTTAACTAATCAGAAATCATGACAGTACTGCACAGCTTAGTTAAGATAGTTTGTGTATCTGCACATGGTAGGCTTAAGTTTGAAGAGATTTTTTTCTCTCATGGGAGTGTGATAAGTGATAATGCCAACTAATAGCCAGAAAGTTGAAAATATAGTTTCCACATAGACATTAGCTTTTATTCCTCTGCCTTCCTTTCCATATCTTTCTTCTGACATCTACTCTCTAAATGGTTGCATTCTGTGGGATATGTTTGTATTAGGAACTTCATTGTTTTTCTACTTTTATTGTGCAATTTTTCATTTTATTTCAATCAGATACTATTTTTCTTATATTTTGAAAATGCCTATATATTGAACTGCCAGACTTAGCCAATTTGAAAGGATTTGGTATAAAAGTTCCATTATCACTAGAAATAAAGACTAGCAAGGCCCATTTGGTTTCCTAGCTAAGGTAAAGATGATGAGAATTTAAATATTTTTGTAAGAAATTTGCAAAATGCATGGATTAAAGATGATAAATTACAGTAGTATCAACAGTTAGAAAAATAAATTATTCTTTTTCAGGAAGTTTTAGTTGCTCAATCTCAGTACATCATATGATGTTTCCAGGTCTGGTCTGCATGGATTTATGATGTTAATAAAATATAGACTGTTCAATTAAATCTTGCTTATGGAGTACTGGCCAGTACCTAAATAAATGCAGGTGATTACAAAATTTTATCTTTCTAGTTTTTAATCCACAATTTGCCAAAATTCATTTGTGCATGGCTGCTTTACTCATAAGTCTTATTTATTTACTTTATTGTGAAATTAATTAATGAAGATGCTTTTTCCGTTTTGTTTTATAGTATGTTACATTGTGGTAATTACAAGCTTCACTTTTTTGTCAAATTCTCTTCAGGGACATTAACTAGTCACCATGAAAAGGTAGTTTCTTGTTCATGACAATGGGAGGAAGGCCTGGGGGCTTTTGCTACCAAAGTATCACCATGCAATTATTATTGAGCATAATATGTCTGGAATTGCTTTAATATGCAGTTTTTCTGATGCATGCCTTAGTTTTCAGGCTTTGAGAAAGTTTTTATCATTTTTTAAAATTAATGTATTGAACTGTATGAAATTTCTATTATAGAATAAAAAATCAAATATTAGCAATTTCATGTTTTTCAATTTAATATTTAGGTTTATTTTCACACTAGGAAAATTAGAGCAGATACTGAATGGTATTTTGAAAATTGTAAGCACTTTTTATTTTACTATCTTTAGTTCATTACATTCTGTAACTGTGGTAGTTAAGTGAAGCGGACTACAGTTGAATGTACTTGGTATTTCTGTTAAGCTTGTTTCTCTATTTTATTTTATCATACAGGAATAGAACCTAACTGTTTTCTTGATTTTAAAAGGAAAATCAACTATATTATGATCCTTCCACTGGGATTTATTACTATTGTGATGTGGAAAGTGGTCGATATCAATTTCACTCTCGAATAGATTTGCAGCCTTACCAGACTGCTACCAGAAAACAAAGTAAAGATAAAAAATTGAAGAAGAAAAGAAAGGATCCAGATTGTCCTTCAACAAATGAAGAAAAGGTAATGTTTTCTTAATTTTTGCAGCTTATATAATTTTAATAACATGATTAAACCATAATATTTTAATGAAACAAAATCATCCTGTAACTGTATATTTCAAACATCCATTAAGATACCAGATCAAACAACTAAGGAGCATTCAATGGAGCAAATGAGGACTTTTCACAAATTCTTTGTGACTACAAATAGAAGTATTTCTTACAATTTGATGGAGGTAGACTTAGGGCAGGTAAAATGCCTCATGTTACATAGTTTGGAACAAAATTCAGCACCTCAACTAACATGTCAGTGTCACTGCACCATTTACAATAAAAGAAAAACAGTTTGTAAGCCAACTTAGTTACACATTCAGCTTTCTTAGTCATTTTGAGTACTTTGTTAGGACACATTTTTACAAAATCTATTGCTGACAGTGGAATAGGTCTATAAATTGGTATGTTTTGTTTTTGGAAAAGAGGTTAGCTATAGCATCAATAATCATTAAAATGTTTATATAGTGCATTAATTGGAAAAATCTCATTTCCTATAATTGTTTTCTTCAAAATTAGATTGAAGAAAAATTATTTTGCCTTATTACAGAACAGTATTTATAAGAGCAGCAAAAGACTGAGTCTGTAAAACATTAATTATGAAAAAGATGGTCTGTTTAATTGAAAATATATTGTGTAGACCCTTAAATGGAAGATATAAAGATTGAGGGGTACTTTTTTCCAACACGATATAATGTTAATTGAAATGTTATCAGTGCTCTTATTTGTACTCTAAGCAGATAAGTTTGGTGGTTTATATGCTAGACAGAAGGCTTATTTTATTGACATGTTTTGAATTGTGGCAGCTATGTATTTGGTACTTGACTCTGGCAATTTTATCTCCTATTTTTCTCCTCTTAACCCAAGAGCATTTACTGAAAATCATACTAAATTCTAAAGTTCACATATGGAATGTGTGCTGTTGATTTATTTTCTGTTCCTTACATAGTTTGTTTTTACCACCACCCCGCTTTAACTGACAATAGATAGGAATAGAAGAATGTATGACTAAATTGCTAAAAGTAATGTTTCTATTTACTTTCAGGATTTGTGTTCTAATAGAGGTTGAACTGTCTGAGAGGCTAGGTTGTAAAAGCACCTCTCGCTAGCAGTGAGAAGAGTGGAAAGGGGCCCTCAAGTGACCTTTCCTGACCAATTTTAAGGACTGGCATTGAAAGCATTTTTTGGTAGTGTGATCTTACCTGGCTTCCCTAACTGTTCACCTTTACCATTCTTTTTCAAAACATGTGAACTTCAGCATAGGAACTTTAGAAAATTTCTGATATGATTTTGAGAATTTTGAAGATTCTCAAAAATAGCTGTGAAGCCATGCAGGACTGGTTAAAACATCCTCATTATTTTCTTTACTTTTAAAGATACTCTTGAGCCTTTTGTAGATGAGGAGATATAAAAATAAGGCAGTAGGATAAAGAGATTGGAGAAAATAACTTGAAAGATCCGTAATATGCCTCAAAGCTTACCTGTAAGACCCCTTCTTTTCTCTTAGTATTTATCAGATATTCTGTATGGGCAAATGCATAGCTGATTAAAAAACACAGCCCCTCCGACAGTCACTTTTCCCCAGCAGATGTTGTCTGGTAAGCAATAATAATAAAATATACAAAATTAGAAATGGCTTTTGAAAAAGTACATATAGTTGAGGAAATGTTTTGCTATAAATTACATGGCTTATGTAACTGATGATTTTTCAGCTCTGTACCCTTGTTCTTGTCTTTGGTGAGTTTGTATTGCTAGTGTGTGTGTGTGT